GAAACTGGGCCTGTATATTCCGTTTGTTTGGTACTCTTGCCATATGACAGGAATCTGGCAATAAACGCTGCCTCATAGTTATCTTTCTGTGCACGCCACTCAATACGATAAGGGAGACTCGAGCACACAGAATTACCCACTCTAAATCTGGGTAACCCATCTCGCAGCATCCAATTGCTCTCATTCATAATCTACAAGCTCCATTGGTATCGCCTTCTATCCGCGCTGTAATTACGCCTGCAATACTGCCTCCCATCCAAGAATCCCCAACGCCTAATCATTAAAACCTGTCATATCCTCCTAACTATCCAAAACTCCCATAACAACTTTACTCAACCCAACGTCACAATACCCACCCCATTTAACATCTCAAATTGATACCCTTCCGCTTCTCGTCTTCTCTGATTTCATACATGATCTGCACGCCGACAAACAGCGCGCAGCAAGCCATGGCGAAGAATACCACGCCATTGAATGATCCGACCACACCTATCATCATCATCAGCACCCATAATCCCATCCCACAAGAGACAACGCAAGAAACCACTTACCAGCGACCAACTCCTTCAACCCATCCAACCCAATCGCAAATCCGACCAAATTCGCCGCCATCATCATCAACACATTCCCGACGGCACCAACCGCGGCCACATGCCTAAACAGCGTCTTATTCCCTCCCAACCGCCTCAACGTCACCACCTTCTTCGCAATCATCTCCGGGGCGACAAACAACACAATCAACCAACCCCACGTCAACAGCCTCAAACTGATATCATGCCACAGCGCGACAAACGTAAAGACCGCGAGCATATTGACGATTGGTCTTTTCGCGCCGCCGATCGGGATGTAGATGTATCTGACGGTCCATCTGTTGAAGCTGCGGTGCCAGGCGCGCCAGAATGCGAGGGCGCTGGGGTTGTTGGACATGCAGCGGAGCATGTTTTCGACGGGGTCGATGGAGTCCGTGAGCGACCAGAGACGGAAGAAGCGCCAGGGGATCATGAGTTTGAGCCAGATGATGTGGAGGTTGAAGTAGCCGATCATGGCGAGCTGCGCGGGAGTGTAGTAGGAGAGGGTGAGACGGGAGAGGGATTTGGAGATGGCGACTACGTAGATGTAGTGAAGGATCAGCTCCATGGTGAGAAGGGAGGCGAGGAGACGGATGGCGTAGAGGATGGTGCGACGGGCGGAGATGGTAGGGGTGGAGTGTTTTTGCTAGGTAGGGTTAAGTGAGATTCGTTCTAGGTTTGTGCAAGAGGACAAAAACGTACTTGGTGGAGAAAATCATTGAAGGTGATGATCGGGCCCGCAAGATAGAGTGGGGTGTAGAGAACATAGGAGATGTAGTTGAGAAGGGAGTAATCTTGGATCGGGGCGGGAGTATCGATGCGATCGCGTTCGCTCATGTGTGCGGGGTCGGCATGTTTTTTCTTTTCACCGCGGGAATTCATCATCAGCCGTTCTTCCTCCGATGGTCCATCTTCACTTCCACGACCCCCAATGAGACCCCTCTCAGCACGCCCAGGACTAGAGGTTCGGGACCCTAGTCTCTCTCTGCTACTGCCAGCTGCATTCAAGACACCGTCCTCCCCTGTGTTTGCCAGGGAACCTACCTCAAGTACACTCCCCGGCTCGTCGTCGCCCTCCTCGAGTCTGCATGCTGCCCAATAGTGGTCGAGGTTGTAGCTGATTAACCGGAGTACTGTGATATTGAACGAAATCTCCCATCTCCGGAGAAGACCGCCGTTCATGAAGTGATCCATCGCATACCCGACGCCTTGGCCTTCGCCAGCAATCAAGAATGGGAGCAGCTTCGAAAAGCGGTAGCCCTGAAAATATTCATTGGCGAAAAGTATTCCAATGTTGAAAGCCCATGTAAGGATGGGGTTCCAGATCGATGACGGGTGGAAGTAGGAGATGGAAAAGTTGATGAGGATGATTACGAAAATCTTAATCAGGCTCAGTGAATGTAGAGCAAAGAGGAAAATGAGTGCGAAAATGATATCGAAGATCTTGCGCCGGGTAAGGTTGTGGGCAGCGCGGTAAGAGGAATTGGCGGGTGGAGTCGGGGATATCAGAGTAAATACGAAGTTGAAGACTCGGCGGAGGACGAAATGGAGTGCGAGGACACCGAAGAGAATCGGGATGTGGTTTCGGAAGCTGGCGTACTGAGCATCAGAGTTGTCGACCCTTCTTCCGGGAATCCAACCGGAAGTTAAAAGATGGGAGTATTTTTCATAATTCGGATGTGATTCTGTTGTTTTTCAAATGATATCAGTATTTGAGTAGCTTCCAATAGCTCGAAGCTCCTACCTTTGCTAACATCATGCGCAACTTTAAACATAATTGGCACCGCAATCACAAAAATCACATAGTAAATGTAGAATTCCGGGGTATTCCACATGCTCGGGCTGGCTTCCTCCTTCGTCCGGCGGGTTTGTGCACTAGAGCTTTCCCCATTCTGGGCGGAGAGGGAGGGGACATTTCTGTTCTTTGGGGGCGAGGATGACCGTGTTTTCGCAGTAAGCCGTGGGTCGAGGGTGTCAAGGGTGAAGATGTTGCGGAGGGTGCTAAGCGGGCCCATCGCAGGCGCAGATTGGGGTGGAAAGAGTGTGAGAGAGCTGAAGGCTTTGGACGGGGGACAGCTGTTTAGAGGTCCGAGGTCGAATAGGAGTGGCTCGGCAGGGACCGTTTGGGTTTAGCACGTGTGAAATGCGCACAAAGCGCCTGTGTAACGACCGAACTGTGGGGTATGTGGGCACAAGGCGATTGAATTGATGACGGTCCTCCAGGTGGAAGGACAGGCACCATGGAAAAAAACATGGGTCTCCAAACATCAGGGGAGTAATATGTTCAATTGAATAGACGCTCAATGGATCCCTCATGGCGGCGAAAGACCACAGGAGCTAAGAGAGGCCGCATCCGGGCTAAACGAGTGATATTACGTGAACCTTGAACTCGAGTGACTGGGTGCTCACACTTCACCACTGGTTTTGATATCAAATTTTGTGACTGTACCAAATATGTACATCATCCATACCCTCTTTCTTCTCACTCGTAAAAGCGCGAAATAGGATTAGAATGCGAATCCACTTTTTATCGGGTGATTGTCTGTGAACCGGAGGTGTCAACCAAAGATGTCATCACCTCTGTACGCTCGCCACAATCTTTCTCACCATCCCGCCACTGTCATTACCAGCTTGCTCGTCCCCCTCCTACCTCTTCTCTCCAAATGTCTCCATGCCGCTGATCCGCCCTCCGCTCTTTGCAGCTCTCCAGCGCTGCACCGTCCAATCCGCACGTCATTCGAGCTCAAAGACCTCCGATAACGCGCCCCCACCATTATCCACACACCTTGATGGCCAGAATCCCAAGAAGGCCGAATCCGACTCCAATGGAAACGACAATGAACCCCCCGACTCAGCCTTGAAACGGCGCTTCGAATCCCTCTCCGAATCCGCTTCTCTCTCTTCCCCAACCCGGGCTCACCACGCCGCCGCCGACCCAGCCAACGCCCCCGGCTTTTCCGAAGAGCTGAAAGAAGCCCTCTCCCACCGTCTCTCCTCTGCGGATTTCTCAAATCAACATGCTCAAGCTATCTCCGTCTCCAAAATGCCTTCTTCTGCGCCGAAACATGCTCGCGATGTAGCGGCTGCTCCAGCGTGGACAGGCACTGAAAGTACGGAGGATGCGGTGTTGCGGATGTTGGTGGATGCGCATAAGCCTTTGAAGCCTGAGCTTAGGGGAGGGCTGAAGCAGCCGCCTACGTTGTCGAAGATTCCGGTGGATCTGAGGCCAAAAGGGATGATGGCGGGAAAGCTGCCGGGTAGTGTTAGAGTTGGGCGGGCGAAGGAGGCGGCAGTTGATTACGCCGCTGGAAAGGGATTGACGGAGGAAGAGAAGGATGAAGTAAAGCAGATGTTGAGGGAGAGGTTTATGCCGGAGGGGAGATCGGGAGTGGCGACAGTCCAGGCGTTGATGTCGCTTGCTGAACAGCGGATTGAAGGTATCTATCCTTTTCTTTACTATGGCTTTCCTTATGCTTACAATTGGGAAGATGCTATTGCACGAGGTCAATTCAAGGACCTTCCACGAGGAAAACCATTGGAGCGCGATTACAACGCTTCCTCCCCATTTCTCGACACTACCACCTACTACCTCAACAAGATGATCCAAAAACAAGAGATCCTTCCTCCATGGGTCGAAAAACAACAAGAACTCACCAAATCCACGCACACCTTCCGTCTCCGCCTGCACCGCGACTGGCTCCGCTTCGTCTCTCGACTAATCGCATCCCAGGGCGGCACTCTTGATCAACAGATCGCCAAAGCCGAAGAATACGCCAAAGCCGAGAAGAGGAGAGTCAAGCTGGAGGCCATCACCGCAAAGCTCTCCCGCTCGGAAGAGCTCACCAGCGAAGAACAGGAATGGTATGACGCCGATCTCTCTTCTCCGGGCCCTACACGCCTCTTCCGCGACCCAGACTGGGAAAAACAGGAAGAAAGCTTCAATAATCTTAGTATCAAGGATATCAATGATTTGACGAGGAGCTATAATCTTATGGCTCCGGAACTCGCAAGAAAACCGTACCTGACTTTGGAGAGGGAGCTGAAACGGTGTTTTGCGAGCGTGGCACCTGAGGTAGCTGGGGAACTTAGGAGAAGGGCGGAGAAGGGGATCAATTGGGAGGAGGATGGAGGGAAAGCGAAGGAAAAGGCAAAGAAGAGGGGATTGCTGGAATCGGTTGAGGTTTTGGAGGATGAAAGACCACAATTTGGCTTCCGAGAACTTTGGAAACAGTGGTTTAGGAAGAAGTGATGGGATGCTTGTAAGATATGATTTTTGATAGATATGCCTTCTATTGGCGAGACAAGGTTTCGGTCACGAACCTCAGAACGCTTAGGCCACATCTAACTCCCAAAATCCACCAACTTGAGCTCGAAATTTCGAGTAAAACAAAAAGGGAGTCTTCAACCGCTTGGGACAGTTGAGAACGAAGAAGGTCACGCTGGGGATCGAACCCAGAATCTCTTGATTTCAAGTCTGAATCGTAGTCAAGCGCCTTGCCATTGGGCCACGCGACCTTTCATGTGTGAAACGCATATTGACGACCTGTAGTATCGCCAGTGTCGCCGATCTCCGACTGTCAAATACGGGGATCTACATCGTGGTTCGCCGCCCAACTGTCAGAGACCTGCTTGTCGCTGCAACGGCACACTGGTGTCCTCAGCTCCCTACGTAACGACCACGACCACCTCGACTGAACACTGCATTCCTCGACCTCTCTCTCCTTCACCAACCTCCCAACAACCCCGTCCTCAATCCCACGACCATACGCGCGAGCGTCCGGTGTTCCATCTAATCGCTGCCGCACTCATAATCGCGTCAACCCAAGCTAGAACACCGAGACCCCGCCACCCGCCTCGACCACTCCAAGGTCTGAACAAACAACAAGTACCACATTCCGACGCGCCCAAACACCCCAACACCAAGCATCAAAGCAAGACGGAGTTGTTGGTGAAACGAGACGAGTAGATCCGAACTGCGAAGCTGGCGACTGGATCCGTTGTTGGACCTGAACGCCGGAGCTCCGTGAGAAGTCGAAGGAATTGAGAGGAAGATCTCGGAAGAATCGTCAAGATGCCGCCACATGCTAAACAGCGGAAAATCGCCATAGTGGGCAGCCGTGCTGTTGGTATGTTTCCCCTGTGTTTGCTCTTTTGGGGGCGGATATCTCATGATGGGTCATGTGGTGGTTGGGTCCGACGGTAGGAGGCGAGGAAGTTGGGGACGAGCGAGAGCTTGGACGAGCTGGAGAGAGTTTGTCAGCAGAAGTTGATTATGTTGAGGGGAAAGAACTAACATGGAGTTTTCATTGGAACAGGCAAGTCGTCACTTACGGTTCAGTTTGTCGAGAACCGCTTTGTCGAGTCTTACTATCCGACCATTGAAAATACTTTCCAGAGGACTATCAAGCATAAGGGGCAAGAGTACACCTGCGAAATTATTGATACCGCCGGTCAGGTTCGTAAAACTTCTTCTCCTTGGTCAGGCGCATGTGGTAGGCAGTGAGGGTGGTGTGAAGGTTGTGGGTAGAGGTGATTTTCAGTCCAGAGGGTAGTCCTCGCATGTTTGATGAGGTGCTGCTAGGCCTTGAGAATAAAGAAGCGGGCGGAATGGGGAGATTTGGGATGGTGATGTCGTTCTTGAGTCTCGGCGGCGAATTCTTGAGAGATGAGATGAAAGTTGTCTGTTTGCAACATTGTTTGCTAACTGTTTTCATGCATTATACAGGACGAATACAGCATCCTTAACTCGCGCCACTCGATTGGTATCCACGGGTACATGCTGGTTTACTCCGTGGCCTCGAAGCAGTCGTTTGAGATGGTCAAAATCATCCGCGACAAGGTTCTGAATCATCTTGTATGATTCCCCTCCCTCGATCTGGCGTTCTTCCCAAATAGCAAACATATATTAACAGATCAATAGGGCGCAGATTGGGTCCCCATCGTCGTGGTTGGCAACAAATCCGATCTTCATATCCAGCGCCAAGTTTCGGCCGAAGAAGGCCGCGCCTTGACGCAGCAATGGAACTGTGCTTGGACCGAAGCGTCCGCTCGCCATGACGAAAACGTTTCCAAGGCCTTCGAGATGATGATTCAAGAAATCGAGAAGGCGCAGAATCCACAGCAGCCTGCTAACGGTGGAAAGTGCATCATTATGTGATTCGGTTCTATTATCGTATCGTTATCGCATCGCTTTCTTCGACTAGGTGCTCAAGCCTGCGGCTGGATGTATGCGTTTTACTAGCCAGGGGCTTACTGTTTTCTTTGACTTTGAGAGAGGGTTAGGATGGGGAGACGAGGCGTGTCAGTCCATGCCCTCCTCTATGATGACTACGGCTTTTTTCAACTGTTTCGTTTGTTACTTGCTGGTTTTTTGTTTCTTTCTTCCTTGTTACTGAAGCTCAACACATTGTTAGCGAGCAAGAAGAGCTACCGGTACCGGCTGGCAAGCTGTAATGTCTCCTTGCTATTTTCTAGTAGATATACGCCATTTCGCCTAGTATTAGAGTTCATTTACAACAACATACGTCATCTGTAGCATTGGAATCCCAAGAACGCTCTATATATTGGCGCCCGTTTTGAAAAAGATATAATGTACAAAATCGGTCCTCGGCCCTCGCTCACACGCCCATTTACCAGAGATAATACTGCCTCTGTCCATTCCCAGTGATTGGGCGACTGGGGAGAATGTGCTGCACAGCTTTCCGCAATCTCTTTGCATCCTTTTCTTTCTTGATGCGCTCCAATGTTTTGGTTTCCTTCAAAACCACGGTAATCTCTATTAAAAATCATCAGCACCCACTTAACTGGGACCACTACATATCCGTGGCCGACACTACCCTCCACCTTCTCCATGTCCCCCAAGAAGTACTCACGCGTTTTCGGAAGCCACAATTGATCAATTCTTCCCCTCGCCTTGTGATTCAATGCATGACCGTACTCTCCTCTTCCGACCCAAGCCTCACTAACATACATCGTCTCCGGACGCATATCATGCCTCACAATCGCCTCATCCCTCGCAAGCTGCAAATGCTTCAACACCTCCTTCGCGGCCTTCTTCGGCGAAAACTGCATTTGCACAATCGCATCCTCAATCTTCTTTCCGGCAATTTGTCTCGCAAGTGGTCCCAACTTTTTCACACTGGTATCCCAGAACGGACTCTTCAACGTATGAGACTTCTCCTCCTGCAGGATCTTTTCTCTGCGCGTGAGACGTCCACGGCGGCGGTGTGTCCGGGCTTCGTGGGTGCGTCCAAAGCTCCACACATCGTGTCGAGGATCGCGGAGAGACCGGAGATGGCCGTAGTTGACTTGGTCGGTGGTCATGGCGGCGGATTCATCCTCGGGGCCTTCTTCTTCAAAGATGGTGGAACCCTTGAGGGAGCCGGGGCTGTAGCTGGGGCGTTGCGTCCGCGGCGACGATTTAAGGAGGGCATCAAGATTGCGTTCGGAAGAGAGGAGTGGTGCATCGGCCGCCTTGTCTTTGTCCTTTTTACCCCAACCGAAGAAGGAGATGTTGCGGGCGGACGGTGCGACGAGGACTGGTACCCGGGGAGTGACAGCCGCGAGGGCTCGGATTGGGAGACGGACGGACATGGCGGGTTTGAGGGCCGGCGGAGTGGGGTCGAACTCGCAGCGACGACTGTGTCGGAGGTCGGAAAATCGCCGGTGGAGGGGCGGCGGTGATGACCGGGTAACCGACGACCACACTGATGTGCTAACATGACAATAGAATCGGTATATCATGTTTTGCCCCATATCCGTGTTGGAAACGATTAATGATATCTGAGATGCTAATAGCCGTCAATAAAAGAGGAATTGGGTGGGTTAATCGCTTCATCCATAGCAAAATGTATGTATGTTGACTTGAACTGCAGAGGCGAGTGTTTTGGCTTCGACTCATGGCTTGGGTTTATCGTTGCAGCTACCATATATATATAGCTTTTGATAGTCGTGGGCCTGTTGTCCCAAGTTCCCAAATCATCGAGTCGGTCGAGTGAGCATGCGTGACACGATGTTAACATGAATGATTGTGAATTTTCTTGACAATTTACTAATTATGATTCGTACCAGACGAGGACTCGACCAGCGGCCTCAAAGTCTTGAAACAACTTGAGCAACCACATCTACACGCTCCCCGCCACAAAGTTCACCACAAACTTCGTGGTATCTCTTTTCTCCGCCCCATAAGAAAGCCCAAAATCCATCAAAGGCTCATCATGGCACTCTCCCTTACCCACAACAACCTCCAAACCAACTTTCCCGTCTTTTACCTCTTTGAAATTCTTCATCACATCAACCCACTTATCGACATCTCCCCTGAAAACTTCCTTCTCGCCAGCAGTGACTCCGACTTTCTTAACTACGTTGCTGAGTCCTGTCCACCACTCAGCCAGCGCGGCCACTGGCTCTCCGTAGTATTTTCCAGTTGCCACGTCGGTATAGTATGTCGTGTTTTCGGTGTACAGAGACCCATAGCGGGAGATGAATGGCCCGGTTTGGAGATCATAGGGTGTGTTTTCGATGAAAGTTTGAGAATTGGTAAAGAAAGTCAGGCAAGGAGAGATAAGAAGAACGGCAGCAAGTGGTGAAGAGAGAGAGATAGGCGGGAGGCCGGGGAAGGGGTGAAGAATGTGGGAGATTAGTGAAAGAGCGAGGTGGCCTCCACAGGAGTCTCCGCCGAGAATGATCTACGATAGACTTTACGTTAGTAGCTAGTTTGAATTTAGAAGAGAAAACGGAGTCGACGCTTAAACGAGGCAACGGAAAAAGAAGGGGGTGAAGCTTACTGAAGATGGAGGGACACCGATTGATATAAGGTGACGGAGTGCATGAACGGCCTGCGAGAGCTGGTAGGGATATTTCTTGTTTGGCGTAACCGCTATCACTCCGCATCAGTTGTGTACCGATAGACGGGAGGGAGGATAAAACGGTAATAAGGGGGCACATACAGTATTCCAACAACCCCACACTCAACTCATACCCAGGATTCTTCTCAGCATAGGATTTTTTTATATGGTCCATCAATGGCGGGAACTCTTTGTTCATCGGAATCACAAATCCGCCACCTAAATGCGCATATTAATAATCTCCAAAAATATAAACAAATATCCGAGGCCGAAACTTACCATGACAGTATAACAGCACCTTCTTACGCCCACTCTGAGTATCCGCCTGTTTCCACTCCTCCCCAATCCACATCACTCTGACATCCGGTTTCTCGACAGTCCCATCGCCTCTCAATTCCGTTGCCACTGGTTCTAGCCCCTTGCTTCGTGTCCAGGCGCTGTACGTATCAAATGATGGTGGTGTTGTCGCCTGGATCTGTTGCCATGAAAGTGACGATGTCATATGAAGTATCAGGGCATTTCGAAGTCGAGGTTTGAGAGGTTGATCCTTGGGGCCAAAGAGAAGCGCACGGAAGATAGCGGGCCCTGTGGATAAAGGGTTAGAGAACGTATTGGAATAGTCTCATTCGAGCGGAAATGCCTAATCGGAAAACAATGCCAAATATGGAA